TGGCCATACCAGGTAATCACCCCATAGTATAAGATCCCAACCCTTGTATGATCCACATCCAGTGTATCGATCCCTGCCGATCTCCCTTCCCCTCCTTCCCTACTCTACTCTCCCTGCACTCCCTCCTTCCCTACTCTCCTCTCGTTCCCTTTGTCCCTCCTTCACCCTTCCTTGTCTCTCTCGTCTCCCTCCCTCCTCTCCTCTCCTCTTCTTCTCTCCTGTTCTTCTCTCTTCACTCCTCACCTTCTCTCCCTCACCTGCTCCACTTGTATTGATTCATCAGCATCTGGCATACGGCGCTGCTCAGATGTTGTGCGAGAGCGTTGAGAAGGAGGAGGAGGATGCCGAGTGAAGCGCCTGCCACACTTGGCTGAGGATGGAGCACCTTGATGGCGCGGGTTTGCGGAGGATGTTCCCGACGCTGCGGGACGAGCGAGTGCACATGGTACTGCACGGGAACGACCACAGCTTCCTCCTGTGCCAGCCCTGCATGGTCAGCCTGAACCCAGAGAGCGTTCGAGCCCACATGCAGGACGAGAAGGTGGCGTACATCACGAGGAAGTGGTGGCTTGCAATTCCCCGGTCGAAATGCTGGAAGATCAGCTACAGCACGTTCGAGTGGCTGAACGTCCTGCTGTTCGAGGAGCTAGTGCCTCAGTACTCGCGCTACGGTGAAAACTCCATCGCATTCACGGCAAGGAAGGACTGGAACTTGTGCGCTGAGAACAAGCTGGTGATGACGTACGAGGACTTTGTCTACTCCCTTCTCACTCTCGCTGAAAACTTCACCATATCGTCAAGCCATCGAGAGTACTTCGAGTTCCTCGACAACTTGCTGAACAAAATCAAATCGAAGTTTGACAGCAAGGCAGAGGCGCTTGCTTTAGAGCAGGGCAAGATGATCCAAGACAAGTCCAGCTCTCGTCATACAGACAGCGGTGGGAGTGACGACAGTGCGTCTCCCAAGCACACCACTCAGTTTCTCATACAACGAAGACTCGTTCCCAAAGGCCTCGCAGATCTCTCCGAAGGTGACGGTAGCTGAGTCTGCTGCCCTCGTCGCTCACCTGCTGGTGCAGGCGCGAGCGTGACCGACTCGGAGCCCGGCTTCGACTTCATCCATCAGGAATCTGACTACCATGCGGCTGCTCTCATCGATACGCACCAGGTCCTCCCTGCTCCCTGCACCTTGCTCCCTGCTCCCTGCTCCCTGCACCTTGCTCCCTGCACCTTGCTCCCTGCACCTTGTTCCCTGCTCCCTGCTCCTTCCCGTCGCTTGTCTGACGGGACTGCAGGCAATCAAAGACGCTCGCGATCTTTTGAGCGACCTCAGCCCGACCACCGCGAGAAAGGTTCCTCCTAGCGCTCCGCGACGACATGACAAGTTGCAGGCCCTGCACGCTACTCAGCAGAGGAGAGATGGCCGTCATCGGTGAGGCTTGCAAGCTGCTTCTGCTGCTGCTGCTGCTGATGATGATGCTTGCCTGTAGGATGAGCAGATGGTCCTGTCAACCGGCTCTCAGCGCTCGGGTGAGCTTGACCGCAGAGGTCAAAGTTGAGGGTGAGAGGTGCGGCAGATAGAGTCGTCGCCTCTGCAAGTGGAGGTGAAGAAGTTGGAGAACAACTCGAAGAAGACGAGAGGCAGGACGAGCTTCTTGTCTCCGCTGGTCTCATCTCTTGCCTTGCAGGCGAGTCTTCCTCCTTCGAGATCCTTCGGAACTATCGCAAGGACGTGAGTCATGCACGCGAATGCTGCCCTGTGTCTCATGCATGCCAGATCTCCTCCTTCTCGCCCCGGGCAATGGAGGCGACGGAGACGATGAAGCGACTGGTTGGCTTGAGGCTGCTGAAAGACAACATCCTGATCTCAGAGACGATGAACACGTAAGCAGAGGAAGAGGAGGTGGGGGAAGGGCTAGAGGAGCGAGAGGAACGGCTAGAGGAGCGAGAGGAACGGGGAGGCGGAAAGACGGAGAGATGGTGAAGAATCACGAGAGAAGGTGCTTTCAGGTTGCGGAAGTGCATCAGATAGTCATGCGCTGTGATGTTGATGGCAGTGGACGCGAGGAAGAGAGGGAGAGGAGAGGTTGGAAGGAGGAGGGGAAGGAAAAGGAGTTCACCAGAGAAAGATAATGAGGTTGGGGAGGAGAGGTTTTATTCTCGTGTAGCAGGAAGCTCAAGAAGCAGGAGAGAGACAGGAGCATCTCCGAGGCCCTGGCGACGTTGGAGGTGCAGGAGGTGACTGAGCCTAAAGTGGACGTGAATCCTCCGAGGTGAGGGAGGTGAAGAGGGAGGAAGAGGAGGAGGAGGAGGAGGAGGAGGAGGAGGAGGAGGAGGAGGAGGAGCATGACAAATCAGCAGGAGCCATGTCCTCAGCCCCCTGTCCTTTGTGTCCGTCAAGGTTCGCAGCAACATCGTCCGCGGCGTCTCCAAGCCTTCTCCTCGTGCGAGAGAAGAGCAGGCGCCAGCGTCGTGCCGAGAGGAGCACGTCGTCCTCGAGCCCTTCGTCTCCTGCTCCATTCCTCCGCACAGGTCCCCAGGGCGGACGAGCATGGAAAACTTGAAGAGCAGGAGGTCGGAGCCCAGCCCTCGTGCTCAGCTACAGAGAAGTTCACGCCGAGAGAGGAGGGGAGGGGGCGGCTGACGCGGCTGCTGATGATTCGACCGCTGTCAGCGAGGGAGATGGACAGGCGAACGAAACAAATGCATTTCTAGCCTTCACTTCTTCTTCTTCTTCCCATCAAACTTCTTCTCGCTGATCAGCCCTCGCATGCTCCTTCCCTGGCGCCCCGACGTCTCGCCCCTCCCGTACTCTCTCTGCCCTTTTCCCTTCCCTTTTCCCTTCCCCATCCCCATCCCCTGCTCCTTTTCCTTGTCGGCTGGAGTGAAGGTGAAGGTGCGGTTCCCGCTCCCTGAGGTCCTGGACGGCACCAGCTGAGCTTCGGTCTGCGCGTGCTCGAGTCTCTCCGCCATGGTCATCTTCGCTCTCTTCGCTGCCGGAACGTCCGACTTGCTCGCTCCCTTCCGCAGCGCTGCAGCCTCATGACCGCTGCGAACCTGGAGGAAGTCGGTCAGTGAAGGATGGGGAGGGTTGGAGGAGCAAGGAGGAAGGGGAAGAACGAGGGGAGGAGGACTGGGTCACCTCAAACATGGCCAGCTTCTTCTTGCTTCTCTTCCCTGATCCCCGTGTAGACGTGGCTCCCCATCCATCCTCATTCCTCCGGATCTTTCCTGCATAAGAGGGTCAGGGGTATGGAGGGGGCGGGCAAGGAAACGTCAGCGCCGTCCTCGAGTCACCTGCCACGTCCTCTCTCTCTTCATCGCTGGACTCTGACTCGCTTCCAAGACCAGCGATCTCGTCGAAGTGTTCCCCCCCGTCCTCCTCTTCTCTCCTCGCATTCCTCTCCAAGGCGGCTTCGGAGGGGTGCAGCAGCTTGTACTCGTTGCTCTCCTTGTCGATCTGGAATTCAGGCTTCTCGAACAGCGCCTTGAACCTATCGTCCTCCAGCAGCTTGTTCTGCGACGCCAGCTTCTTCTTGTCCGTCGACCGAACTTTCTTCGCTGCCGCCTCGTCCTTCCCTTCCTCCTCCTTGCTCGACATGATCTTCTCCGCCAACTCCCGGTTCACCTTGGGCAGCGGTTCCTTGCGCGCTATCCTCTCCTGCATCTTGTTCTCGACCTTGTCCCTGATCTTCTTCTTCCTGTACTCCTCGTACTCGAACGGATTCATCACAGCCTTGCTCCTCGCGTACAACTGCGCATCGAGGAAGAAGCCGTGCATGTACGCCTTCACCATGTTCGTCCCCACCAGCCCCCCGAGCCCGAGCTGAAGGAGCTCGTCTCGCGTCACGAACTTATAGTCCTCGAACACCTCCTCCCTCCTTGTCTCCTCCAGCTCCTCCGTCAGGCTGTCGAGGAACGAGCACCACTGCGGGGCCGGCCCGAGGGCAGGGACGAAGTAGACATGCATCCTCGGCTGCTCGGTAGCGAACATGAGCAGGCCTGAGTCAGGGCACAGACAGACCTCGTTGATGTCTGCTGGAGGCTCGATGCTCGCGTACAGCTGCCCGTCTCTCTTCCCCCCCTCCCAAACCTTGAGGATCTTGGCGTCAGCTGCCATCAGGTACGACCCCTCCCCTGTGCGGTGGAAGCGAAGGTCCACGATAGGCTGACCGTACTGCTGGTCCTTCACATACAGGGGTCTGCTGCTGCGCAAATCGAAGAGCGCTGTGTATCCTCCGCTCGTTCCAGCCGCCAGGCTCAGCCCGTCCCCGTCGAATCTGATGGCCGAGACGCCTTCGACGCTGGCATCGTCGTCGTCGTCGCGCTGTACCACAGACCCTCTCCTCTCCGCCACCTTTGCCGCCACATCACAAACTCCCACCCTGCTCCGAGCGCGCGGGTCCCAGCATTCTACCGTTCCCGACTCAGTCCCGAAGGCCAGGAGGCCATGCACGTCGCTGCGGTCGACACAGTTGATGGCAGGGGAGAGGACGGAGTAGGGCTTGAGGAAGCGTCCTTGCTCGAGGCTCAGCCTGTACACGTCTGGGCTGCTGCCCACTACGACGAGATCGCAGCTAACGGGGTCATAGCAGAGGTCGCGCCCTACCTTGGGGACCCTCGTCTTGTAGTAGGTGCCAAACTTGGCGTGGAACTCGATGGTGCGATCAGCCTGTTAGCCGTCAGTCGTGGTCATCGTCGTCATCGTCATCATCTTACCTGAAGAAACGCCATCTTAGAGTAGTCATCGGATAGGATTTGGAACTGAACGACTTCACAGTCCATGTGCCGCTCAAACTTCATGCTGAGCTCGGATAGCTCGTAGACCTTCACTTGGGGAGGATAGACTCCCGTTGCTGCCATGAACTTGCCATCCTTGGACAGCCGGAGATGCGAAGAGGCCACATCAAACTCGAGGTCCTGAATCAGCTCAATGCGGCTCTTGTACTCCTCGTCTTTGCGCAGAGATTTCTTCTTCTGTATAACGAGCAAGCAAATTCGCGTGAGCCAGCAGAGTTAGCAGACAACAACCAACCTTCTCAGACAGCCATTGCGGAAGAGTCTTGCCCGAGCTCACGTTGTAGACCTTGATGCCTCTCGACTCGGTCACCTACAGTCTCGTTCAGACGGCAGGAGACAACGAAACCAAGTGGATGAGACCGTTTCTCCCCTCCCTCTTGTTTCTCCCCTCTCTCCTCTTCCTCCTCTTCCTCCTCTCCCTCCCTCCCTCCCTTCCCTCCCCCGTCTTGCCACCTGCATCGGCGCCATAGTGCACTTCACGTGCCGGCGTTCGGATGATGGTGAATGAGCGGGGATGAGGGTTAAATTTGGTAATGAGGGGGATGAGTGAAGATTTCCGAGTGGGGATCAGAGTGGGGATGAGGTCCAGATGAGGTCGGGATGTGGTGGGGATGAGGGGAGTTCGCTCTCTAATGGCGCAGCAAAGCGGTTTGAATCATGCGCGAGGAAGGGAAGCATAAGGGAGGAGGAGGAGGAGGAGGGAGAGAGATCGAAGGAGAGACAGAAAACGAGCAGAGCAGGAAGCTGAGGAGCAGGTAGGGAAGGGATGTCTCCTCTCTCTTGTTCGCTTCCCTACACAAATCACCTCATTTTTACTTCGTGCGAGATCACGACAAACAAGTCGGGACTGATGAAACATCGATAAGGGACTAGAGAAGAAGGAGGAATGCATGGAAAGATGAAGGATAGAAGAGAATCGAACGAGGGTATTTCAATGGCAGGGGGAGAGATTGAGAGGTTGAAAGGAAATCTGAAGGTTGGTCAGCTTCCATGCCGAGGTATTTGAGTGTGTTCCTGTAGATGTCAACAGCTGTTGCTGTGTGAGCGAGAAGGGTATGATGATCTGGTGTGGGCAGTTGAGAGGAGTGTGAGAACCTGAGGGGGGCTCGAGCGTCTTGCTGAGTTTCGAGGGATCAAAGGTCGTGAGAACTGTTTCATTGCTGCCCGCTCGCTGAGTCGACATGATCATCGTAGAGGAGAGGACGTAGATAATGACCAAGATGTGCCTCGATACCTGCGAAGACATGAGCGATTCGCTTATACCTGACTATCTCATGGAGCTCGACAAGGAGAGGTAAAGTGAACCCCTGGCCCCAGTGATCGTGTTTGAATCCATACCAGCAACTCAGAGTACCTGCGCAATCTTGTACATTTTTCCCCCCAAAATGAAGAAGCAGATACGAAGGATCTTGACAAGCAGCAGGTGACCTCGGTCGCTTCTCCTGCTCTTCAATGACTGACCCGGGCCTCCTTGAGACTCAGGACGGAAAGCCCGAGGAGGAGGAGCTTGCGTCGGCTCCTGCCGCACGTGCGATGAAGAAGCACGAGGCCGTGAGGCATGATCTCCGAGAACGCAGGACAGTACAAAGATGGAAGATGTACGTGAGCAGCTGCAACCCGAAGCGAGAGATCTTCTGGGGGAGTCAGGAGGCGTTCAGCGAGGTTAGCCAGAAGGAGCTGCGAGAGTCAGAGAAAGTCTCAGAGAAGACGAAGAAGGCCAATGAATCAACGTCATGCTCCCACATGTCGTCAGGCCTCCCGTCAGACTTGTGGACGATCGCGAGGTTCTTGAACGAGATGAGAACAGCTTCTCTCCTGTTGGGCTTGACCTGCAAACTCTTCGACAAAAGCTGCTACTCCTCTAAGCTCCCGACCAAGGGTAGCAAGTCTCCTGCGCCCAGTCAACGCAAGAGAGCAGCTCAATTCTCCTCAGAGGAGCATCTGTCCTCAGAAAGGAACCTCGTCGCTCTCATGGAGCAAAGCAAGGCCTTGCAAGATCTGGTGCAGGAGAATTCTTTATCGGATGGCAGCATCCTCCGCTTGACAGGCTCAGGCATGTCACAGCACGTGAGGATTATGCAGCGAGGGAGGAGCATCGAGATCGTGGGCGGAATGACCCAGCCGTTCGTTAACTTGAATCGTCTGTTACGGGAGGTCTTCCATACAGAGTTGTCACCATGTGTAGCTCTCACGATGCTAGAGTACAAGAATGCCAGCAGCAACCGGTGGCAGAAGGTGCTGGACATACCCAAGATTCGAAAGTCCTTGTCTTCGCATCAGTACAACCTTCTCGTCCAATCTGCTCAATCGTTCAAGGTTGAGAATGGTAAGTCGAGGAGAAGGCGAACAGGGCAGGACGCATAACAGGTTGTTTGCTTTCCTGCAGGAGGTTTTCGGTCCTATCATGATGCTGCTGAACTTGTCCGATCGTTGGAGCTCAAGGATCGTCGACAGGTCTCCTCCCCTGGGCAATTAGCCATGTGTTCATTCGTTTACCTGCAGTGGACGTGCTGGGCTGAATCGCCAGCTCGCCCCCTTAACATCCCTTCAAGGCCTTGGGAGGCAGGCTGACGAATCGAGTGGAGGGAGGATGATGTTGAGTTGCAGGTTTACCAAGACAGCTGGACTTCTCTCGGAGAGTTCCTGGGTTAGAAAGAGAGAGGGCGGAGGCGGGTGCTCAATCGTTGTCAGGCGTCAAAGCTGCGCCGAGGAAGAGAAGGGTGCCCTGCGCACATGATGGCAGCAGGAGCAAGTTTCAATGTGCAGACGGTAGAGTGAAGAAATCCAGCAGCAAGATGATGCGCTCGATACAAGGTGAGGGCGGGGGAGGAGGAGGTGAATGCATGATTGGGATGTGTCTGTGCAGGAGATCTCCAGGATTTTCACAGCAGTCTGGACCAGCTGTCTGTCGGGCTTGCAGGTTAGGAGACATGATCCAGCTTCGTCACTTAAGGACTGTCGACAGGCGTGCACAACAGGTTGCTGACACACATCGATTCTCTTGTAGAAGTAGTCAAGCAAGAGTGAACCTGTTAAAAGCTCCCTCATCTCGTGCTCTCCTTTTCCTTCGTCTTGTACTTCCCTACCGCTGGCACCTCTTCCTCCTCTGCTTCTGGCATGAGTTCAATCATCGAACAACTCATCCTCCACTCACCCGTGTTGCTCTTCTCTTCTGCTTCCTCTGACGGACCAGGAGGCCCCGGAGGCCCTGGTGGCCCCTCGTGGATGGACACTCCCGGAGGACCTGAGTGCAGATGTGAGAGGACAGGCGGAGGGAGGAGGGAGGAGGGAGGAGGGAGGAGGGAGGAGGGAGGAGGGAGGAGGGAGGAGGGAGGAGGGAGGAGGGAGGAGGGAAGTCCAGGACCTTGACGGCCGGGAGGACCAGGATAGCCCGGAGGTCCTGGACGAGCCCCGAGAGCAGCTTCGGTCATGAGGTACTGCAAGCGGGAGCAGGTCAGCCACGTCTTCTCCTTCTCTGCTCCTCTCTCTGTCAACCTGGTTGGCAGTCAGAAGCTCGTCGACGTCCTTCGTAAGGGCATGAATGGCCGACTCGTCCGCCACCAGCCTCTTAGTTAACTGCGCGGCCCGTCACCGGCAACTTCTCACGACTCCCTCCAGCTCCTCCACCTGAGCTCGATCCAGCTGGGGCGGGCTCTGAATGACCTGCCCCCGCGAGTCGTAGATCGGCTGTACCGCGATGGGCGATGCCATGTCGCTGTGTGAGAACACTCCCTTGCGGATGTAGTCCTCCATGGCGCTCGACGAGAACCGTGATCCTGCCAACGAAGCGTCAAGAGCCTCACCATGCCGGGCAGCGACGAGAACCTTGAGGCGTTGGCGATGTTTTAGCCCTGGCATGCTTGAGTAGAGCAGGCACTGCAGACTGAAAACGTGTAAGACAGGAAGCAAGAAATGTCCAACATCTCACCTCCGACCAGACAGGCATGGCACTTCCTTGCCCGGGAGCAGCGACACCGGCTGTGATGGCAGAGGCGATCCAAGCCTGACAGAAGAGCCTGAGGAGCAGCAAACATCCACCTGCTCATGCCACCTGTCGCTTCTGTGGGCTTGGCATCACCCCGAATGCTATCGGCGTGCCTCCTGGGTTACCACGAGCGTGAGAATGAATGAGACAGAAAAGGAGAGAGAGCAGACCAGCGACAGCCGGATGCGCCAGGGGTAGGCCGACCGAGTTGATGTCGAATGGACCCGATGCCCCTCCATTCCCCTGCACTGGCCTGGTGTAGCCCTTGCCGATTCCAGCCACACCTGAGTAAGGGAGCGGAGCGCAACGGCTGGAATAAACAACAGCTCCTCCACCAGCGTTACACGGCACAGTGACCGGGGGATGGATGAAAGGACGCGGAGGAGCGCAAGGAGCTCCCGCGCATAGTTGGCTTGAGCGAGCAGACCTGACATGGCGACCGGCAGCCTCGAGGTCGCCATGGTTGTTGGATTCTGTGGTCAGGTCCTGCCAGCCTTCCTTCTCTTGCTGGTCTGCCGCATCAACTGCCGCCGTGTGGAGGAGGAGGCAGAGCAGAAGCGACGCGGAGAGGAGAAGAGCTGGAGGGAGGAGGCGCGGGCTGGAGGAGACTACGAGCCGCTTGCCTACCATCCCACAGGCATGAAAAGCGAAGGGAAGCGAAGAGTTGGGTGGGACGGTTATGACGGTTATTAAAAACGGAGTTATGAACGCCTTAATAACGGATAGATAACTGCCGTGACGGATTTAGCGGGCGGCCATGTTCGCGCTGCTAATCCCGATGGCGCGGTGGGAGGAGAGCGACCTTGACAGGCACATGCTCTCCTACTGTGTGAGCTTGGAGAACACTCCCTTCCAGCAGAGAGAGTGCATCGTGAAGGGCAAGAACATGAATGTCAACGAGCGGAAGAGGTACGTCAGGTGGTTGTCGAACCAGAACGTGGACGTGTTGTGAATGCTCGCCATGCTGCTATGTCGCTGTGCGCAAGGAGGGCAGGGCAATGATCTCGAGGAAGGGGCCGATCAGGACAAGATGTACAATTTTATTGCGAGTATGTGTGAGTCCAACACGACCAAGAGTTATGCCTCTTCGCCTTCAGAACGGGGCGACAGAGCTTCCTGTAACACAACGTTCAGGGGCCATGCTTTGGTCGCACAGCAAGGCCTGTTCACACGGCACACTCGCATACCTGCTTCGTACCCTGAACGTCTGCTGCGAGGAAATTAGGTACCCCTTCTTGAATTCGGAATCTGGACAACACGGAGATCAGGATGGTTCGAGAGGGTGGCAGCGAGGGGAAAATCTTTGCACATCATCTTCTTGGGTGATAAAACGGACCTTCTCTGTGTTGCAGGACAGACGAGCTGCCCCTCCATGACTTCTGTTTCGAATAAAGCTCTATGAAGCGCTCGGAACATGTGGACGTCGCCGTCGTTGCAGGCGCTGCTGCAGTGAGGTCGCGCCATGCATCACACAAGGCTAACACCTGATCACTTCCGCCATGTCTTGTGGAAACTGGCGCTCAAGGCCGATCGATTCCTCCCCACCGACTGCCTGCAGGGCATCCAAGAACACCTGCGGAGCAGCATGTAACCCTTCATCCTTCCTCTGCCTCCGCCGCCGCCCCTCCACACCTTCCAGTTCAATCTCTCCAGCAGCGAGATGATTGTGTCTTGATCCACCTTGCTCGGCCTGATCTCTGCTCGCTCCACTTCGAGAGCCAGCGGGTATCTCTGCGTTCAGAGCAGCGTCAGGGCTGGCCTTGCGGCAGGAGCGCTGGCTGCACCTGCTGCTTGGTCAGACCAGGCACCGGCGACGCGAGGAGGTTGTGGGTGAAGAGTTTCATTCCTCCTCGCAAGCGGAGCAGAGATGCCTTGCTGTCAGAGGAAGCCTCGCTGACGCTGGGCCCCGCTTCTCCGGGCCAGCTGCACAACACGGCGAACAGAACCAGCAGCGAGGCGCCGCGACTTGACATGTGAGGAGACAAGAGGAGAACGGGCAAGTGAGCAAGGATGGGGGCGATTGTGGTCTTTGTTGGAAACAGGAAGGACAAGGTAACACAAGGGAGTGAAGGAAGTGGGAGTAGCCGATAGCACGAGGAAGACTGGGCAGAGGAAGGAAGCGGGGGAGTTGGAGGAGAACTGGAATTAAGAGGATAGGGATAAAGATTTCAAGGAACAGCAGAGAACAGGGAGGTGAAGGATGAGGAGGAGGATCTAGGCAATTAGAAAGTTGCTAGTGTCGATCGAGAAGGGAGGCAATAGGGAGCAAGAAGGAAGGGAAGAGGGAGGGAGGGAGGAGGGTTGGGGGATGGGGAGAGGATGGAAGGAAATTGGATGTTGATTAAGTGGAGGATGATGATTGAGTGGAGATGAAATAGCAGCAGAGGAGGAGAGGAGTGGATGACGACGAGGATCGTGAGGATCAGGATCGAGCGAGTGTTGATCCAAGGCGGTACAAGGAAGAGTGGGCGTTGGAGCGGGAGGAGCGAGAGGAGCGGGAAGTCTAAGAGTCGGAACAGGGGCAGGGGCAGGGGCAGGGGCAGGGGCAGGGGCAGGGGCAGGGGCAGGGGCAGGGGCAG